GAAGGGCAAGAAGGGAAAGCCTGCGGCTCCGACTCCGCAGACGCCAAGAGCTGATTGGCTGGCCAGCTGCAACCCTGACCACATCCTGCAGGAGGACAGCTACAAGAGACATCTGAAACACCACTGTAACAAGTAGGGCTTTCTCACACAAACACACCTGAAATGGACACATTCCCTCTGTATCTGTGGGAGCCATTAACAGTTTATGGAAGGATGACAGATTAAAAACCGTGATGGATTCCAAACTAATGCTTCAGGCTTTAAACCAGGACATGGATACAATGTGATCAGCTCTACAACCGTAAATAGAACTTTAACAGCCCAAGCAGCCTCCCGTCTTCCTCCTCACACCAGTGGTGGGAAGTACATTTGCTCAAGTATTGTCCTTTGACACATTTGTACTTTATTTGAGTATTTCCATTTTATGGTCGGTCAAATGTCGTACTTTTCACTCCACTACATTTATATAACTCTGTTACTAGTTACTTTGTACATATACTGTCACATATATTCTGATGTGGTATAATGCAGCACTGTACTGTATCATTTGGTTCACATTGACCAACTACAATACTGAAATGCTGTTGCATGTATAAAAAAAAGCACAATATAATAGCCATAATAATATAATACTGTGAAAAGAGCCATTGTGCATAGAAAGTACTTTCACTCTTGATGGACATTTTCGATTATTATACTTCTGTACTAAATATTATTCTGAAACTCATTTGTGTGCACAATGAGTACTTTTACTTTTGAAACATTTTGTAATCAAGACTTAGCAGTGAAGTATTTTGAGACCATAGTATTTGTACTTGTACTTAAGTAAAGGAATACTTCCAACACACACAGGTTTGTTGAGTGGTCAGCTCTCTCTCTCCTGTTGTCAGGGAGATATGCTTCAATTCTAAGATTATTTTTTTCCTTCTTGAGGGGGAAGTTTGTTTGTTTGTGTGCGTCTGGCCGTGTGCCAGGCCAGGTGCTAGGCAGGCAGACCTGTTGGAAGTGGGGGAAAGACGTGTATACACACACACACACACACACACACACACACACTTGGGGGTGATTATGTGGTGCCATCTGCTAGGCTGGAGCACAGCGTTGTGTGGCTAATCAGGCCTGGCACATTGATGGATGAGCTCACAGCCTGCCAACAGACACACATACACGGCAACATTCAATGCCATTGATGCACACACACACACACACACACACACACACACACACACACACACACACACACACACACACACACACACACACACACACACATTCATTGCAGAATGAGTTGCAAGTGACAGTCTTCATACCCTTCCCCCGTCTGCGCTGCCTCTCCAAACTTACTGTTCCCTCCAGCACCGCTCTGTCCTTTCAATTCTTCCCCCCTCTGCTCCTCCCACTTACCCCCCCACCCTCTTTCCCTCTGTTTTCTGCCCCAAACACAGCTATTGGCATGAAATCCTGGTGACAAATGTTTACAGTGAAGCAGATCTCCCAGATAGCAGCTTTTCCAATGTCACAAGTTCAGATGTGACTGTCACTGTTGAGCCATGACTGAAGTGATTCATTTCACTGAAGGACACACTGTGACCGCCAACATCTGTCATTGATATCAACAGAAGATGACCATCCCTTAGAAAGCAGTTGTAAAGAAAAAAAACCTGAAATGCAGTAATGAGTTATAGGACATTTTCCATCTCAAATGTGTTCAGTGCTCCTGCAGACTGCACATAGACAGCAGTATACCGCTGTATTCGTACTTTTACAAACCCATTTCTTAGAGGATTAGATCATGATTGAATCTACACTAGAGGATCTTCAAGGCAAGGCAAGTTTATTTATATAGCACTTTTCAACACAAGGCAATTCAAAGTGCTTTACAAAAAATGAAAGACATTAAGAAAATGGCATTTAAAATCAGTCATTAAAAAGAAAAGATAATAAAATAAACATTAAAAAGAAAAAATACATGGATAAAAGTTACAGTGCAGTCTAAAATATGAATAGTTCAATTAAACATTAAAAGAAAAAGTACATGGATAAAAGTTACAGTGTAGTCTAAGATGTGAATAGTTCAATTAAAAGCAGCGACAAAAAGAAAAGTCTTCAGCCTGGATTTAAAAGTAGTCAGAGTTGCAGCGGACCTGCAGGTTTCTGGGAGTTTGTTCCAGATATTTGGAGCATAATAACTGAATGCTGCTTTACCATGTTTAGTTCTGACTCTGGGGACAGAAAGCTGACCAGTCCCTGAAGACCTGAGAGATCTGGATGGTTCATAATTTAGCAGGAGGTCAGAAATGTATTTTGGGCCTAAACCATTCAAGTGCTTTATAAACCAGCAGCAGTATTTAGAAATCTATTCTTTGACACACAGGAAGCCAGTGTAAAGACTTCAGAACATGAGTGATGTGATCCACTTTCTTAGTGTTAGTGAGGACTCGAGCAGCGGCGTTCTGAATCAGCTGCAGCTTTCCTAATAGATTTTTTAGTGAGACCCGTGAAGACACCATTGCAGTAGTCCGAGTCTACTGAAGATAAAAGCATGGACAAGTTTTTCCAAATCCTGCTGTGACATTAGTCTTTTAATCCTAGATATGTTCTTTAGGTGATAGTAGGCTGATTTAGTAACAGTTTTAATGTGACTGTTGAAACTCAGGTCAGAGTCCATGACTACACCTAGATTTCTGGCTTTATCTGTTGTTTTGAACATTGCACACTGAAGCTCAGCGCTAACTTTATACGTTCTGACTTGGCTCCAAAAACCATTACCTCAGTTTTATCTTTGTTTAATTGGAGAAAGTTCTGACACATCCAGTCATTGATTTGTTCAATGAACTTACTCAGTGTTTGAATTGGAGCATAGTCTCCTGGTGAAATTGTTACGTAAATGTGTGTGTCATCTGCATAGCTATGGTAACTTATTTTGTTGTTCTTCATTATCTGAGCCAGTGGTAGCATGTAGATGTTAAAGAGAAGAGGCCCCAAGATGGAGCCTTGAGGAACCCCACATGTCATATTTGTCAACTCAGATGTGTATTTACCTATAGAAACAAAGTTGTTTCTGTCCTTTAAGTAGGATTCAAACCAATTCAGAACTGTTTCCGAAAGTCCCACCCAGTTTTCCAGTCGGTCTAGTAATATGCTGTGGTCAACAGTGTCAAACGCAGCACTGAGATCTAATAATACTAACACTGAAGTTCTGCCACTGTCTGTGTTTAAGTGGATGTCATTAAAGACCTTTACAAGAGCAGTCTCAGTGCTGTGGTTTGGACGAAAGCCTGACTGGAACACATTCAAGGGTCAGAATAACCTCTGAAAGCATAAGAAATCTGAAAATAATCTTTAAAAGATTCTGATGGTCATCTTTAACGCATTACCTCAGAAAATGTGTTTATTTTGATTAAGTTGTCATTAAAACAATTGTTGTTTTTGTTTCTGTGTTGAACAACATTTGAACCAGCATGACTTTATTTTGCAGGGTGCTGCTGAGGGTGAGGATGCTGTACTATCTACGTCAGGAAGTCATCGGCGATCAGGCCGAACGCATTCTGGAAGGAGCTGACTCCAGGTCAGTAAACCTTCTTCCTCTTGGTTTGTCCCAGAAAGTATTGCATGCTATAGAGCACTGATTCCAACATGATTCTGCCTCTTCTCTCTTAACCTTCATTCCTTTTCTTTGTTTCTCAAGCTCTCTACTCAGTTGCTTTTCTGATCTAAACAACATGCTTGTGTGTTCCACTCAGAACACCTGCTAATTCATTCAACATTTTCTAATAAGAACTAGTTACTCCAGATCAGCTTAAATGCTTGTACGTTCTGCATCTCCAAATGAATTCCAACCCCAAAAAGAGCTCATCGACCCCCGTTTGCAGCCAGTTGTTTCTTTGATGACATCTTTCTGTGTTTACAGTTCATAGAAAGGCTTTTATGTATTGGATGCATCATGAAAGCCACTTCATAGATGGATGAGTGATGAATTATTACTAAAGTGTATTTGTGCTTGTTCCAGTGGCCTCTTTGGCACAGTTCTTTATATTCTGACAGATGCAACACACTTTGTTATCTGGGGGAAATTAGCTTTTTTACCAGCTTTGACCCATTTACAGGTTTCTTTCCTTCACATTTTGACAAGCTACTGCTTATTAGCATTTTGCACGAGGCTTTGCAGTGCAAGGTTGTAGATGTGAAGGTTAACTCTACGGTTTCCTTCACCTCGTTCTGACAACTCCTTCGCTGCTCCCTCCATCTTCCCTCCATCACACTTTCCCTGCCATCTGTCTGTCCCTCTCTGCAGTCCACTTCAGTCTCTCATCACCTCCCATCCCCCGCTCATCACCCTTTCACCCAGATGTGATTGCATTCATAATGTGGAGCACGTGCACTTCATGTTGATCTCTCCCACTCCCTCCTCCCTCTCTGTGGCTACTGTGACAGACCCCTGTATGTGTCTGTGTGTGTGTGTGTCAGCGCATGCCAGACGTGAGCATACGGGGTACCATCATGCCAACATATGCCAGGGGGATTTAGCCTGCCAGTCTTGGCCCAGGCGTGCGCGTGTGGCCATGCTGCTGTTTGCAGAGATAAGGGAGCGTTTCTCCCCTCCTCCTGTCACCCTCTGTCTTTCTGCTTCCATTGTGCCCCTTCTTTTCCCAACTTGGTGGAAACACACCACTTTTCCTCCACTCCATAATGGAAAATTGTTTTTTGGTGCAACCACATTTCATCCAGCCTGCAAAAACCTTGCTCATTATAACTATTCTAGGTTTGTCATTTACATGCATAAAGAGTACAACAAATAATAATTGGACTGTTGTAATTATTTAAAAACCGCTTGTAAGCATAAAGTTTAGGTACTGCGTCAGGGGTCTCCATATATTTCTCTCAAGGTTATATCAATTAAATGGAGAACAATTAAGACCATGGGGGAGAATATTGGTAGCATCTTACCTGGAAGGCTGTGAAGAGAACAGTATGTCAAAATAGGAGCACTCCGCTGATGTAGCATTGCACACATGACGTTGTTGACTCACAATGGACAGTTTTTAAAGTGGATAGACGAGAGCCACAAATATATGCTAGCAACAGCTAATTTAGCATGGAGCACAAACGGAGATGGGGCAGTGGGCTACGGACTGTCCTGTGCAATTCCCTCTTCATTTTCAAACATGATGTTTTAAGAGCCAACACTGAGGCACACAGTGATCCCACTTCCCACAGCTCCCTCTGGAGTCACATTTCAAATGGTTGATACAAATAAAATCATATTAGTAATGGTCATATTTGAAGTGAAGTAATGCATGACCACTGCTTTTGTAAAGATCTGGATGAACATTATAGTAATTTCCAGATTTCCATGGTAAGAAAACAGACCGCAGCAATCAGTCATTCCTGTTTAGATCAATCATTTTTCATGCATTTTATTTCACTGACTGCTCATTCAAATGTGTTGATTTTTTCAGAACCTGGACATACTTTGAGGGTATCGAATGTGCAGTTGAACATGTGAACTAAAGAAAACCATAATTAGAATGCAACCAGATAACTCTGTGTGCACATGAACATTTTGGGTATTCGTTTTTATCTTCGGCTGACAGCTTTTACAATCTGATTACATCACAAATGACTCGTAATCTTATTTCAGCCCTTCCCTTCCCTTTTTTCTTTTTCCCTCTTCGGTTAAAAATGGCGCACCAAAGCAGATTGAACATGGACCAACAGTTTAGTTCTGGTATCAGTGATGTGTGTGTTTGTGCCACAGTGAGCTGGATATCTGGATTCCGCAGCCGTTCCACGCCGAGGTCCCGGCTGACTGGTGGGACAGCGAGGCCGACAAATCCCTGCTGCTCGGTGTCTTCAAACACGGTGAGAAACACACACAACCACATCCTGTATGTACACATCCACGTCTCCCAACGGCAGCCATACATGGCAAATACAAAATGAACATCACACACACACATTCTCCAGTGGCTTCCAACCCAGTCAACATCACGCAAGCATCATCATTCAAACTGGGCGAGGGCACAAACACACACAAACACATCCCACCCACTTCTGCTGCCACTGGTTGATTGGTGTTGCTATGGCGATAGCAACACGCAGCTGGCAGGCTCAGTGTGTTATCGTCAGTGTGATTGATTGTGTGTGTGTGTGTGTGTGTGTACTCTTTGCAGTTTGTTACAGGTGTAAATGATACAAAGCATGAAAACAAAGCTCTTTCTAAAGTTAAAATAACATATTTATCTCCATTTACTGTTAACCTGCTAACTTGTATCAGCCCCCCCCCCCCATAAATGTGACTCCCAGTGTCTGTAAGTTGTGGCTTGAGACCCTCATTCATATTATTTTGTCATTGTTCCATCATTGCCACCCTCTATGATTCAATTAGGACGCACAGTAATACAAAAGGGGTTCACCCATAGTTAATCATAATCCTTATTCACTAGGGAGGTCCTTTGGGTGGAGGAGGGCTGACACACACACAGAAAAGTGTGTGTGTCAGCCCTGTAAAGGCCCCCGATGAGTTGTGAGGGGAATAAGGACGGAGTGAAGGGAGTAAGGCTTCTGTTTTGATTTCCTCTCCTTTTTCCCCTCCCTTTTTTTCCCTCCCTCTCACCTGCTCTTCAGATGTTCCTCATTCCTTCAAATGGTTTCTCTCCCCCCTCCCTCCCTCCCTCCCTCCCTCCCTCCCTCCCTCCCTCCCTCCCTCCCTCCCTCCCTCCCTCCTTCTCTCCCCCCTCCTCCTTCTCCTCCCCCCCTCCCTCCCTCCTCCTTCTCTCTCCCCCCTCCCTCCCTCCTCCTTCTCTCCCCCCTCCCTCCCTCCCTCCTCCTTCTCTCCCTCCCTCCCTCCTCCTTCTCTCCCCCCCTCCCTCCTCCTTCTCTCCCCCCCTCCCTCCTCCTTCTCTCCCCCTCCCTCCTCCTTCTCTCCTTCACTGTGTCTCAGTAGGATCTGCACATTCTAATCTGTTCTGCTCGAATGCCCCTAACGGACAAACACACATACAGTTCCTCACACCCACTAGCTCACTTTCACACACGCCATGCCACACACACTTTTTCCACTTTCTTCTCTCTACCTCTCTCTGACACAAATGAGCACCTGCAGGCTTACTTGGATAAGCACACGCATGTACAGAATGTAGGCTCGCGTGTATACACACACACACACACACACACACACACAGGCGGGATGTCTGTCTTGTCAGCAGCTGGCTCCTGGGGTCTGCCCTTCTGCTGCTGTTTTTGTCTCCTCCTTCATTTCAGTGTGTGTGTGTGTGTGTGTGTGTGTGTGTGTGTGTGTGTGTGTGTGTGTGTGTGTGTGTGTGTGTGTGTGTGTGTGTGTGTGTGTGTGTGTGTGTGTGTGTGTGTGTGTGTGCCTTCTCTCTAGGAGTTTGCCTGCCTGTGTGTGTTGACCTGTAACTGTTTTGAGTCTCCTTGATTTCCTGCCTGGTTACTGATTAAAGCCCCCTGCACCTAAACACAGTTCAAAGTTAAAGCCTTTTATTGTCATTATACAAAAAATACAAACATGGATTCCACGCCTCTGTGTTCATCTTCTCCTCTTGCTCTTCAGGCTATGAGAAGTACAACTCGATGCGAGCGGACACCACCCTGTGTTTCTTGGAGAGGGTGGGCATGCCGGATGCCAAGGCCATCGCAGCGGAGCAGAGGAGCTCTGACATGATGACAGATGGTGTGGATGGGTAAGAGAGCAGCCTTTACTCAGCCCTGCTTTTATTCTTCCATCTCTGTGATTTGTCCCATTTTAACAGCAGTTCAAACTGCTCCTAGCTTATATGAAGGTTTTATCAGTTTCTATACTTAATTACTTTGAAATATAACTGTCAGGGATTTAATTTCACCAAATACCTTAATGGTGATTGGAAAAAACTTAAGTTAAACTTGATCCTTATTTTGATTTATATCTTAATTTTTCAACTAATTCCAATATTCCCTTTCCTCTTCTTTGTGTTATATTGGAAGTTAAAATTAGCCATTCTCTTGTCTCTACAGCGAGGATGAGGATCCTGAGTACAAGCCCCTGCGTATGCCTTTTAAAGATGACATGGATGACTTCACCAACTCCCCCCTGGATGACACAGTGGAAGGGGACGCTGAAGGTAAGCTTTGAGTACACCCAGAGGCAGGCACGAACTTCTAACTAGGGGTGCACCGAATGGGAAATTCTTTGCCGAAACCGATACCGAAAATAGGAAACAGTTGGCCGAATGCCGAAAGGCCGAAAATGATTAATAGAAATATATATATATATATAATGTATACATTTTTTACCAATGTTGTTCAGCTACCTGATTATGGAAATAGACATGATTATGGCAAAACTTAACTTAAATAATAATCACTATTATGGGTCCATAAAACATTTATTCAGCACTTTTGAATGCATACAGTACATTTATATATGTCATGTATTATTGCTAAAAAACATTATATCGCAGTCTTAGTGTCGCCAACTCGTTTCTAATATGCAAAGACAACAAATGCGTCTATGATGTATTTCGATCAGACGAGATCTCTCTCCCCGTCTGTGTGCGAGGGGGCGGGGCAGTTTACACACACTCAGCTGCTACATGCAGCGGAGCACACTGCGGAGATGGCGGAGAGAACGCGCTCCGAGGTGTGGTTAAACTGTACCCGTCTCGATGTGGAGAATACTTGTTACCATAAGTGCAATAAGAGTTTAGCATGTAAGCACGAGCAATTTGTCTAAACATTTAGAAAAAGTGCACCGCATGCAGACGGAGGAATGTACCGGGTTCGACCGTCTTTCTAGCAGCTCTGTAGCCCCGTCCACGAGTAAGGTTTCCACGTCAGGTGTTATGTATGCTAGCAGCAACACACGGAGTTAACTACATTATACAAACATGGGTTAATGATTAGAGGAAACTGAGTTATTTAGTTTGTTAAAATTTCAGCTATTCTGTTTACAGTTCTGTCATCACATTATTTAATACGATTTGTTAAAGGCTCAGGGCAATCTCGATGACAAAGGTCAATGTTCCCCCCCCCCCTGTGAGCCAGCCGCGAGCATGGTCGCCGCGTCTTTATTACGTCATCACAACAACACGTTCTGCTCAACAACACTGTTCTGACATTCGGTGATATTTTTTCGGTGCTAAAACCCTTTCGGCCGAAAGCCGAAAGGGCCTTTTTAACCATTTTCGGCCGATAATTTTCGGTGGCCGAATATTCAGTGCATCCCTAGTTCTAACAGCAGAATCATTTAAGCTTTCTATAAGCAGAAGTTCAGAAGGCTCTTGAGTAAAGCAAACTGTGAAATCTTCTTTTAACACCGTCCCAAAGAGCCCTGTAAAACCATGAAAGATCTCACCAACCCATTCACATCCTCAGTGTGTTTGAAAAAAACAAAAAGTAGAAAAAATATGTTGTTTTGTATGCCTTTTCCGTCATAGCACATAAAACACAGGCTCTTTGCTGCGTGCTTTACAATGAAGCCTAAAATGTATAAGAAGTGATGGAATAATATCACTGTTTGGCATCACAGCACCGTTATTAAAGTGTCTCTGGCATTAGACAGGTGATGTTAGCTGTAGATGTACTGATTCCACCCAATATCTGCGATAATAAAAAAACAACGGGAAAACGTATGAGGCTGGTCTTAGAAATGGGAAACAACAGCTAACGGAAGGTCATTAAATGTAAGGTAAAAACAAACGGCATCACTCTATACCTGGTTAGTGTTGCCTCACTTTATATAAGTGTGTGGTAGCGTACTAGTCACTTTGCTCAGCGCCCCCGCCTCCAATACCCGTCAAATACCAATAATGAAATAACTCAGGCCATCATCGGAGTGGGGCCAGATAAGAACGAGTGTTCAGGGCCAAGAGACTTTGGTGGTAACAGGAATAACCGGTGCTTAATCGGGCACTAGCTCCGAACTGGCCCTGGAACTGCTTTGGTGGTAAAGGGGCAAGTGTGGTTCCTGACTGTGTTCCTCTCTTCTCTCATGCAGCTAAATCAGGTGAGAATGGTCAAAGTGGACCTGCTCTGGGCGGAGCTTCGGGCTCCAACGAGCGACTCTATTGGCCGGCTGCCTCGGCTCTGACTGCCCGTCTGCGCCGCCTCATCACGGCCTACCAGCGCTCCAACCGCAGGGAGCAGCTCCGCCAGGAGGCCGTCAACCGGCCCGACGGGCGCAGGCGGCGGCGCAGGGACTTCCTGCCTGCCATCGGCATGGTTACCGACACAGGAGGAGGGGGGGGCAGCCTATATCCAAGATGGAGCAGGGGTGTTCATGACCGAAGGAAGCCCGTATATGGCTAAAGGAAGTGCCTACTTTGCCAAAGGTGGGCAGTTCATGGCAGAGGCGTCACCGGTGATGACTGCCAGCTCCCTGATGCCTGATGGAGCCATGTACTACAAGGAGAGGAGACAAAGGTGGGGCTCATTTAACGTTGCTTGTACAGGAATGGTGTTAAAGAACTGTACCAACACACGTATTTATTTTGTAAATGGACCTTTGCTCACACGTTTTCTCTATCAGATGGACTCGTCGTGAGGAGGCAGATTTCTACCGTGTGGTGTCCACCTTCGGGGTTGTCTTTGACACTCAGCGTCAGAAATTCGACTGGGCTCAGTTCAGGGCCTTTGCTCGACTGGACAAGAAAACAGATGAGAGCTTGGAGAAATATTACTACTCGTTCATTGCCATGTGTAAGCGGGTCTGCAGAATGCACAACAAGAGTGAAGCGCGTAAGTTACTGTGACACAGAAACAAATGTATTTCACCTCTAAATAACAGCTGTGTGGTTGAAGTTTGTTTGAGTACTAGGGTCAAATTGTCAAATTGATTCTGTATTTTACCTCCTCAGAACTCCCAGACCCCACCCTGATCATCGACCCGATCACAGAGGAGCGCGCCTCCCGCACCCTGTACCGCATCGAGCTGCTGCGGCGCATCCGGGAACAGGTCCTCCCCCACCCGCTGCTCTCTGAGCGCCTCAAGCTCTGCCAGTCCTCCCCTGACCTCCCGGAGTGGTGGGAGAGCGGCCGCCATGACCACGACCTCATCCTGGGGGCCTCTAAGCACGGAGTCAGTCGCACAGATTATCACATTCTAAACGACCCCACCTTGGCCTTCCTGGATGCTCACCAGCGTTCCACCAGCCAGAGAGGGGGAGTCAAGGGAGAGACCACCAAAGCGGGGATGGGAGCACCGGACACTACCGGACCTCTCCTCACCTCTGACGAGCTGGCCAGCGCCGCAGCAGCTGCGACGATTGCTATGAATGCAGCTAAAGAAGAGGAGGAGGAGGAGGAAGAAGGGAAGGAGGTGAAGACGGAGGTCAAAATGGAAATGGAAACGGAGCAAGGAGACGCTAACAACATTCCATGTATTAAGACTGAAGCTCCTGAGGAGCAGAAGGAAAATGAGGCAGAGGTCAGAGAAGGGAAAGATGACATTGCTGCGTCGCCGAAAGAGGAGGATAAGTCCCAGCCCAAAGTAGAAGAGGAGGAGCAGGAAGAGCTGGAAGAGGAGCCCAGTGCAGAGGGAGAGAAGAGTTCCAAACCAGCAGAGGACAAAGAAGAGGAGGTACCAGAAGACAAGAAGAGTCTGACTCCTGCTGACTCTCCCACCGCTGAGCTCACAGAACACCCCCCCTCCTCTCCTAAAGCACAACCCGACCACAAACCTGCAGAGACCGAGGTGAACCCAGAGTCTCCTAAATCTCCAAAGTCAGCTGACCCAGAGAAAAGCCCAGAGGACGAGGAGGAAGAGAGGATGGATGAAGATGACAAATCGGAGAAATCCTCTCAGGCTGAAGGTACTGGAACATGCATTTCTCTGACTGGAGGTGTGTTCATTGTTTGTCATGTTTACCACAGGGATGATGACAGTTCTACATGTAGCTCTAACACACTTACCTACCTCTACTCTTGTTTATGATTATCCCATTGGGGTTGTCGTTCTCCAAAAATGAATTTTGAGCCCCTTCATATGTTTTGAAAACCCTCTTTTTAATGTAGAGTGGCAGCCTAACTTTCCCTCTGTCAACACAGTGAGCGCTGCATCAGAGCAGAAGAACTTTGATGAGGAGAGCATTGCCTCTCTGAGCACGTCTGCCCAGAACGAAACCAGAGATGGCTTCTGCCCCGACGACCTGCCGGAGACCACAGCACTGCACGCCTTACAGGAGCGCGCCTACGCCTTCTCATTCTGGCCCAAGGTGAGTCCAATTATAGCCAGACAAATAAAGAACATCCAAAAAAGGCTGCATGATTATCATACTGTCATCATTTGATAACTCCAGTTGTTTCTACTGTTTTACAATCTGAAACATGGCTGCTCATGTTTCAGATTACATCACAGCGTTATGGATTAGTGATTTCAGTCATCAACAACTCTGAGGGAGATTTTCTGGTATTTTATAGACTGAAACAATCAGAAGCAGATTGATCCTTTATAGCAGGGGTCGGCAACAGGCGGTCCGGATCCGGACCCAGACGCCGACCTATACGGACCCGGACCTATGATCAATACATTAATAGGGGATTTTTCGGCGCCTCCCGCTTTTGTAACGCTGATTAGGGGTGACTTGTGTAATTCGTGGAGAACCGAAGAGTTTTCATTTTGGTGGGGGGGAGTCCGTCCGTCAGTCCGACTGACGGACAGCTTCTCACTTTAAAAAAGAAGAAGAAATCTAGACCGCAAAAATAATTAAACAAGCGAGTACCTGTTTTTCCTGGCCAAGGACAGGTTCCTTGAACACAACACGAGCGTACCGTGTCTTCACGTGGTATGTCTCGTCTGAAAGGAGTGCTGACAGAGAGCACCGGAACGCCGCTCCAGCTCTTCAAATATTGCAATACCCATAAGGAGCCGTACACATGCCGCAGTGTTTGCGTGGCTGTGTCTTTAGTTGTAAGCACAGTGGCGATCTGTTGTTATTAGCATCTGGTTAGCTAGCTATGCTAACGAATTTAAAGAGCTTTTCTACAACCAGGTGGAAGAGAGCTCTCTCCTGAGAGGCTCAAATAACCTCAGCTCAGTGAGGTTAAGGCACACCTTGATATGATCAATATAGTTATTAATGAGACTAAATGAAAAACAGGTATAAAATACTATATGACAGTAACAAAAAAGTTGTTAACAATAACAAGAATAGAGTTTAAAAGGGGAGTGATTTGTAAAATATCCAAAAAGAAAAATATGCTTACAGTTCTGTTTCATATGGGTGTTGAGAGATGTATCCATAGATCTCTTAATGTTGCTCTCAAAGTGTACTAGATTGATGCTTTTAACTTCAATATTTAAAAACAAATCTTCCTGGGGGAGCATTCCCCCGGACCCCCCTAGAGGAGGTTAGGTCCCCCCCCTCCCCCCCCACTTAAATCATGTTCACATAGTAGGATACTAAATACATTTGCACACATCTTGTGTCCATATCTTTCTGTTGTGGTGGTCATGCCACACCGTGCACATGCATGCGCGAGTCATGGTGAGATATCTGGATTAAGAAGTTGCTTTTTCTTTGCACAGCATGAAAGAAAGGCCAACTGAATGGGCTGTGATTTTAGTTTTTTTAAGCAGAGGTTGAGTTCAATCATTTGTACGGCCCTCGGAGGATGTTGTAAAAATTGAAAGGAAAAAGGTTCCCCACCCCTGCTGTAAATAATAATAAAAACCCTTGATTTTTAACTTAACATCTCTGTCTCCTATTGATCTGAGTATATTATAAAGAACAGTTAATTGAAGCATTATAGCTCAGGGCTTTGTCAGATGGTATATTACGCAGTTTTTTTCCTGCTTCGAATAGTGCTCTCTTTTTTCACCATACCTGTGTTTGCATCACTGAAACCAATGAGCACCTGCATGTGTGAGAGAATGGCCCTGACTCCATGTCAGCCCAGATTTACAAACTCCTGGCAGGACAAGCTCCAGCTCAATTCTCACACTGAATTTAAAAAAAGTGAGTGAGGGACTGCAATATAAGAGGGAAAGAAAGAGAAACTTTAAAACTGTTCAATTGTTATGATGTAAAGACTGATATTGTTCTATAATCGGCTGAAACTGTTAAGTCATGATGTGAAACGGTTAACAAAGACAAAGGGAAACTCAAGCTGCTGCTACACTTTATTTTATTTATCTAAAATTAAGCACTTTTAAGATGCACATATTTTCAAAAGCTATTTTATTTATTTTCTCTATTTTATTTTTAAATGCAGCCCGAGAGGAACATTACACATATCCACAGTATTTACTGTATATCTGTAGAGTTCAATGTTAATTCATAATACATGTTGTTGTTTTTTACTATTTGATTGGCAGTCAGTTGTTGATTACATGCAGACGTTGATAAAGCTACAGGCTACTTCAATATATATCACACTAATTCATAAAGCAAGTTAGACATTTTGAAGTTCCGGACCTTTGCATGGGGACATTTTCTCTAACTGGACCTCGTTGAATTTTAGTTGAATACCCCTGCTTTATAGAAACAAATACTCTCAGAAACAGGAAGATTCTACCCTCTGAGGGTTTTATGTGGAACATCTGTTCAGTGAGTGCTGAGTTCCAGAGAGTAGCTCAACAGTGATTGTAGATATGGCAATATTGAAGCCACTGGCATTAGCTTAAATGATATAAGTGCAATATAAGCCTATAGTATTACTGCACTGTTTAAGAAAAGCTCTAGTGCTGGATATGAACAGTCATATCACAGCTTCAGACCATAACTGCATGTGTTCGCTTGTATCCAGAACTAATAAACCATTTGTAGACTTCAAGATGATGCAACATGGTATACTGTTACTGTATACTCTAATCAGCTCTCTGCCCCCCCAGGACCGGCTGATGATCAACAGGATGGATAACATCTGTGAGACTGTCCTGAAGGGCAAGTGGCCTGTCAACAGACGCCACATCTTCGACTTCCCCGGCAACCTGTTGCCAGGGCAGGGCTCCGCCCTCCCCACAGCGGCCGCCGCCACAGTGACAGAGAGCCCGCTGCAGAGGCCGAGCCTCGCCGAGCTCACCATGGCCGGCATCCACACACCGTACAGCGGGAGCGAGGACAAAACACTGTCGCCACAGTTTCATGTGAGTGCCACTCACATCGGTTTATTATGAAAAATATATATATTCAAAACCTTGTTTATAACTTGTCACTTTTAAGCTTTATAAGAAAACATTTACATTATTGATCCCCATTTTGGAATATTTTATGCAAGGCATTGTATATATACATAATGTGAAAATAAAAGCAGAAAAATATACAAACACAAAATTATAAACATCTCAAAATAGAACTAAAATATGTTGACAGTGAACTATAAAAATATGTAGACTATCTGTGAAATAAACACTTTGGAGGGCCATATTACAGCAGGATTTTATTTATTTTAATTGTGTAAGTAATAACATATTAATGATAGAGTTTGAGGATCAGTTAGAAACTTAAACCTAATGCTGCGCTATCCTGATCTGTGCTAGTTGCTCCCAGTACTGTGACTCCTGCCCTTAGACAGATGCAGTTTAACTTCCCCTGATTTTGTAGGAGGACGCTCTCACCCTGCCTCGCCAGAGGAGGAGGAGGAGGAGGAAGATCGAGATTGAGGCGGAGCGAGCCACTAAGAGACGTAACCTGATGGAGATGGTGGCTCAGCTGAGAGAGAGCCACTCTGCCACGGACACCCAGAGCCAGGCCATAGACCTCACCAAGGTGCAGCCATCGTTCATTCATATCATGCAGAACGACAAAGAACTAATATTGTAGTCAAACTAAAACTGATGTGATGTGTTCAGGGTATGCACCATCATCATAAGGCAGCTCCCTCATTGGCCGGCTTTCCCAGCGCCCTGGCGACAAGCCCCTCCCTCAAAGCCCAGATGGAGTTGCTGCTGCAACCCCCCCCCTCTGCGCACAGAGCCAATGGTTCACTGGAGGCTGACCTGCCAATCATGAGGAGGAGGCGGGGCCGTAGGAAAAATGTTGAAGGCCTGGAGCTGCTGTTCATGGGCAACAAGAGAGCAGGAGGGGTAAGCAGTGTGTTTAACAAGCAGGACAGATTTCAGTGTTGCACAACAGTTTGTCAATGTTCCTTCTCCCCTGCTCTCCGTCAGGATGATGCTGATGGGACGAAGGCTTCAGGTGTGGAGGGGCTTCAGGATGCTGCCCGTGCCCACAGACCCGTCCCAGAGCAGAGCCCCAGTGCCAGTGCCAGGTCTCTGGCCTCTGGCAGTATGGAGGAGGAGGAGGCTGCCGTGTCCAACAAAGAGCTGGGGGAGTGGCTGAGGCAGCACCCCACCTACACCATGGACATGGCTGCTTTCACACCAGTACGGCCCCTCTTTACATTTATCCATCTTCTTCACCTTAAATCCTTTCTTAGTGTAACCAGAAGCATCATATCTGTTGTTCTCTTGCTTGCCTTTCTCAGCCTCTAGTTACTCACACCTTTGTATTTGTGTCTTCCCACAACAGAAGAGCGAGGATGTACTGCTGTCTCAGTTTTCTAAGCCCAAGCAGAAACGCCATCGCTGTCGAAACCCAAACAAGATCGACATCAACACCCTGACTGGAGAGGAGAGGGTGCCTGTGGTGAACAGACGTAACGGACGCAAGGTGCAGTGAATACCTGAGGACCACTGCCTACATGTTGAAACTGAATTGATTTTCCAAGGTAAACTCATTTCATCTTCCTCTTCCTCAGATGGGCGGGGCCATGGCTCCACCAATGAAGGAGCTTCCCCGATGGTTACTGGAGAACACGGAGTATTCCATCGCCCCTGATTGGACCGACATCGTGAAACAGTCGGTTAGTAAGAGAGATAAAACCTGTCAATAATGACTAACTGTTTATAAGAAGTCTCTGTTACACCATCTGTTTCCTGTAAGCCCTCTGAGCCCAACCCTCTCACTTTCTATGTGAGTAGTTTGTTTTCTAACCTGAGGTCCTCCTCCCTGCAGGGTTTCCTCCCAGAAGCCATGTTTGACCGTCTCCTGACCGGCCCTGTGGTCAGAGAGGAGGGCGTCCGCCGCAGAGGAAGAAGACCCAAATCTGAGATCGCCAAGGCAGCCGCAGCCGCTCAGGCTTCAGCAGCAGCTCAGGCTGCACAGGTCTCTCTGCTGTCTGCTGCCTCATCTGCAGGTACACACACACACACACACACACACACACACACACACACACACACACACACACACACACACACACACACACACACACACACACACACACACACACAGTAACCCCCTGTCATCTCTGATCAGTTAAATCACAAATTCTGTGTTGGAGTACTTGAGAGCAGTTATGATTCAAAGGCTTCCTCATCATAAGCACAGCAGCCACGGCAACAAACTAAACACTATAAGACTAGTTCAAGAAGAAACAGAGTAGAAATAAAAGACCAAGTAGTGCAAGAGAAGTAAAATAAATACAATAAGCTAAATGTTGCAGAGAAATGTGTAAGTGACCAATAAATGCAGGAGTACATGTAGAATGTTCTGAAGGGTTGTGGATGTTCCTCTGAAACTGTGTGTGTGTGTGTGTTTGTAGGAGGCATCAACCCTCTGCTGCTGAGCAGTCTGTTTGGGGGCATGGACCTGTCCTCCCTGCAGAGCCTGCAGTCTCTTCAGCTGGCTGCCGGGCTGATGGGCTTCCCCCACCCCTCAGACCCCAAGCAGGCGGCTGCCAGCGCCGCCGCCTCCATGCTGCCCCTCATGCTGCCCGGGATGGGGGGCCTGCCCAACATGGCCGCCCTCCCCAACATGTTCAGCCTGGGCGGGCTGTTTGGCGGGAACCTGGCCACGGTGGCAGCTGCCGCCGCTGCATCCAGCCCCCGCGCTGCGACGTCCCAGAACAGCAACGGAACCATGCAGGGTGAGGGGGGGGACGGAGAGGGGGAAGACTATGATGAGGAGGAGGCAGTGGAGGAGGTGGAGGCTAATAGTGAGAGAGCCGCGAAGAAGGCGAGGAAGAGGAGGAGGCGGGAGCAGGCAGGAAGTGATGTCACTGCTCAGACCCTCGCTGCTGACTCGTCAGTGGCCTCCATCAACGGGGACGCCGCCGCCTTGCTGGCTGCAGCGGGCATGTCGGCCAGCTCTCTGGCCTTCAACCCCTTCCTGCTGTCCACCATGGCCCCCGGCCTGCTCTACCCCTCCATGTTCCTGCCTCCAGGCCTGGGGGGGCTCAGCCTGCCGGGCTTCCCCTCCGCCTCCACCCTGGCCGAGCTGCAGAGCGCCATGGCTGGAGCTCTGGGGGGCAACGCCCTGACTACAACCCTCCCCAGTAACCAAGAGAGGAAGGGGGGGCTTAAAGATACTGCAGAGGAGGAGGAGGAGGAGGGGGAAGATAGTGACTTGGCTGAGGAGAAAGACGGAGTGGAGGAGGAGGATGAGCTGAGAGGAGAAGATTCAGCGCTGGAGGATGTAGGGATGGGGGAGGAGGAGGAGGAAGAGGAGGTGGGGGAGGCGGCAGGAGCATCTCCACTGAAGGACAACAGTGACTGAATAACACAGTGAACCCCCCCTCCCCCCTGCCACGTTTACACGCCTCCACCAGAAATATCCAAACTGTTATGAATCCTGTTTTTTCTCTACATTGTTGTTGATGATTTCTCACTGTTATTATTTTGACCAGGTGTATGACTATGTGTCAGAGAGTGGGGTGTGTGTGTGTGTTAAGTTAAACCTCTCTGATGGATCGTCAGGGAAAACCCTTCAGACCCTTCTCTGCCCTCAGACTTCCCATGTTCCAGCAGAGCTATGATTATTCATTATTATATTAGTATCGCTGCTGCTCTCAGACTTCACTGGTCGTTTTGCTTCCTTTAACGCCTGGACTGTTAAGTTGTTGTCGGCAGCATCGCTTCACAAAAAAACGGCATTACGTCTGACTGACAACGCTGCTGCGAGAGGAATTGTGGGTAATGGAGTTGGAACTGTTCTGTTTCAGAGCAGAGTTTTAAGTTCTCACATATCGGACCAGGTAGACTCTGAGGAGGCAGAGAAACTAGACTGGCCTAAACTCAGTCTCACACACTGACATACTGATCATAAGCCTCACACACAAACACACACACACACACTACCACCGCAGCTGTTTTCCTGTGTGTGTGTGTGCGTCACACTGAACCAATACTGTTACCAGTCCCACACTGTCAGTCTGAGTCTTTCCACCGCCGCTCCTCTTCCTGTCTCTCGGTGGGAGGCAGCCTCACGAGGACTCTGTGAATGGACGGGGGGGGGGCGGCGGCCCCGCAGGGATGTGATGTTTCAGGTTTCTTCTTTAAGGGGGCACATGGTTGAATTCTCCCGGTCGCTGCCACATTAAAAGCTTTTTGTTTTAGTTTATTTTTTTCTACATTTCCCGGTAGATTCAAAGTGCTGCTCCCTAGTGACCTTGTCTTGGAGACTTTCTGTAGTCACACACACTGACACCAGACCTGGCCTTACAGGACTGACACATTCTCCACTGAGTTGGAGATCCACACGTTTCTTTATGAAGTTGAGCTCAGTTTAAATACTTTATAAATGCAGGAGGTGCTTGATTTGTTTCCATTTCCCCAAGGCCAGTTCAAGTGTCGGAGATAAATCAAGCAACGCGAGTGGTTCACATATTTGACGATGCATTCAAACACACTGTGGTCATCTGAACATTTGCTCTCACAGCCAGCCCAGCAGACAGACAGGAAGAGCCCGGGTCCACTTCCTGTTCGGTCTAATGCTGAGACAGCAATAACCAAGGCAGCTTTTGAATGTTCCAACATCACTCTCCCAACACACACACACAAACACACACTATATGAATAACCACAAGTGTCGTATGAATAGAAAAACTAAACTGTAAATGATGACAAATACGTACTGCAATCAATTTTGTCTCACTCTGTTCCTGTTGATGCACTGGTGTTAAAGAGTTAAAATAATCAGGTACCTTTATTACTTAGCTACTTTTCTTGAAAAATGGACTTTTTGTTACTTTTAGCCAGCAAGCTGAAGAGCATTACCTCAAAATTCTTATCTAGCCTTGAAGTTTACAGACATACCATGTAAATGTTTTTTTCTCTTTTTTGGTGTTTGTCTTTTTTGTTTTTTTGGAGACATCATGTATGATGAATTGTAGCTATGATGCTTTTAATAAAAGTTAATCATGATATTCGCCTAGGAAACCAAACCGCTGTGTGATGCTCATTATTTGGTTCACTGTTCATCTGCCCCCTCTGACGCAATATGAAGTTTGTCTGGAGCCGCAAAACATATTTGATAACACCGCTAAAGGTTTATACATAGCTGTACTAAATAAACAAAAACTAGTTTGTTGCATCTGTGAACTTGTAGATCAAAAATCAAATCAAGTCTATTGCTATTTGACCTGTTGTAACATGGGAAGCAGCCCATGTTCTGGACCTCTTTCATCATTCCATTTGGGTTGTAGTTTGCTACTATAATTTCTCACAATATCTTTACATTACATGTCACTTGTTAGATGCTTTTATCCTGTGTGTGTGTGTGTGACACTGAGCAAACATAACAAGTCCCTTAACTAAGTACAATCCATTGTGAATCATCATCTGGATTTCCTACGATTTTATGAAGCATCTGAACCCTACATTATATACAGAGGTGGAATGTTGCAAGGCAAGGCACGTTTATTTATATAGCACTTTTCAACACAAGGCAATTCAAAGTGCTTTACAAAAAATGAAAGAGATTAAGAAAATTGCATTTAAAATCAGTCATTAAAAAGAAAAGCTAATAAAATAAACATTAAAGGAAAAAATACATGGATAAAAGTTACAGTGTAGTCTAAGATATGAATAGTTCAATTAAAAGCCGCGACAAAAAGAAAAGTCTTCAGCCTGGATTTAAGAGTTGCAGCGGACCTGCAGGTTTCTGGGAGTTTGTTCCAGATATTTGGAGCATAATAACTGAACGCTGCTTCTCCATGTTTAGTTCTGACTCTGGGGACAGAAAGCTGACCAGTCCCTGAAGACCTGAGAGATCTGGATGGTTCATCATTTAGCAGGAGGTCAGAAATGTATTTTGGGCCTAAACCATTCAGTGCTTTATAAACCAGCAGCAGTATTTTGAAATCTATTCTTTGACACACAGGAAGCCAGTGTAAAGACTTCAGAACAGGAGTGATGTGATCCACTTTCTTAGTGTTAGTGAGGACTCGAGCAGCGGCGTTCTGAATCAGCTGCAGCTTTCTAATAGATTTTTTAGTGAGACCTGTGAAGACACCATTGCAGTAGTCGAGTCTACTGAAGATAAAAGCATGGGCAAGTTTTTCCAAATCCTGCTGAGACATTAGTCTTTTAATCCTAGATATATTCTTTAGGTGATAGTAGGCTGATTTAGTAACAGTTTTAATGTGACTGTTGAAACTCAGGTCAGAGTCCATGACTACACCTAGATTTCTGGCTTTATCTGTTGTTTTGAACATTGCAGACTGAAGCTCAGCGCTAACTTTTATACGTTCTGACTTGGCTCCAAAAACCATTACCTCAGTTTTATCTTTGTTTAATTGGAGAACGTTCTGACACATCCAGTCATTGATTTGTTCAATGCACTGACTCAGTGTTTGAATTGGAGCATAGTCTCCTGGTGAAATTGCTACGTAAATTTGTGTGTCATCTGCATAGCTATGGTAACTTATTTTGTTGTTTTTCATTATCTGAGCCAGTGGTAGCATGTAGATGTTAAAGAGAAGAGGCCCCAAGATGGAGCCTTGAGGAACCCCACATGTCATATTTGTCAACTCAGATGTGTATTTACCTATAGAAACAAAGTTGTTTATGTCCTTTAAGTAGGATTCAAACCAATTCAGAGCTGTTTCCGAAAGTCCCACCCAGTTTTCCAGTCGGTCTAGTAATATGCTGTGGTCAACAGTGTCAAACGCAGCACTGAGATCTAATAATACTAACACTGAAGTTCTGCCACTGTCTGTGTTTAAGTGGATGTCATTGAAGACCATTACAAGAGCAGTCTCAGTGCTGTGGTTTGGACGAAAGCCTGACTGGAACACATCAAAACAGTTATTTAAATGCAATAAATTACTCAACTGTTGAAAAACAACTTTTTCAATGATTTTACCTAGAAATGGCAGGTTTGATATGGGCCTGTAATTGTTCATTACTGAAGCATCTAGATTATTCTTTTTTAAGAGCGGTTTAATGACTGCAGTTTTCAGGGCCTGTGGAAAAATACCTGAGTGAAGAGACTTGTTTACAATATGAAGTAGATCTGAGGCCATGCAAGGAAAAACATCTTTGAAAAATCCTGTTGGAATAATATCAAGGCAGCAAGAGGAGGATTTCAGAAGTTGAGTAATGTCCTCTAGGTTTTTATCATTAATCTGATGGAATTGTGTCATGGTGTTTGAATTGATGTTAAGTGGAGATAGGGACAACACATTTGCTGTTCCTGATGCAGAGGCACTGACTGCTTGTCTGATTTTCTGAATTTTGTCAGTGAAAAAGGCAAAATCATTGCACGCCCTGGTGGATAGAAATGCAGAGGCTACTGACACTGGGGGGTTAGTTAGTCTGTCGACGGTAGCAAGGCACGTGCGTTGTTTTTGTTTTTGGTAATGATGTCAGAGAAGAACGATTGTCGTGCGTTTTTCAATTCCAAATTATAAAGGCCAAGTCTCTCTTTATAGATTTCAAAGTGAACCTGGAGATTTGTTTTTCGCCACCTGCGTTCAGCTTTTCGACATTCTCTTTTTTCTGTTTTCACGGTCATGGCCTTTCTCCATGGAGATATTTTCTTGCCTTAGTTGGAGCAATGGCATCTATAACATTTTTAATTTTTAAATTAAAATGATATACTAGCTCATTTACTGAGATGTTAGCAGGGGCAAGTGTGGAAGAAACATTCTGAGTAAACATTTCCCTAGTATTTTCAGTTAAATATCGCTTTGTGGTTACCTCTTTTTGAACATTTTTGTGAACAGAAATAGAGCTTTCAAAGAAAACACAGGAAGAGAGTGCAACATCAGTCACCACAACCTTAGAGATATTCAGACCCTTTGAGATAATTAAGTCCAGAGTGTGCCCCTTATTGTGCGTGGGCTCCGTCACATGCTGAGTCAGTCCATAGCTATCAAGAACACAAAACAGTTCTTTAGCCCCTCTGTCCTGGGGGTTGTCAACATGGATGTTAAAATCACCAACAATGACTAGACGGTCAAAGTCAATACACACTATAGACAGCAGTTCAGTAAAGTCATCAAAAAAGCTTGCACAGTATTTGGGTGGTCTATAGATATTTAGGAACAGAGCTCGAGAGGAGCATTTCAGCTGAAGGGCCACATATTCAAAAGAATCAAAGTTTCCATACGATGTCTTCCTGCATTGAAGGGAATCATTGAACAGAATAGCAACTCCACCCCCTTTCTTATGCATTCTTTCCTGACTCATAAAACTAAAGTTGGGAGGGGTTGATTCGATAAGAACAGCTGCACTGTTATTTTGTTCAATCCAAGTTTCTGTTAAAAACATAAAATCGAGATTGTGCTCAGTGATAAAATCATTGATTAAAAATGTTTGTCTTGCCAAAGACCTGACATTTAATAAAGCTAGTTTAAGTTTGTTAAACACACTATCAGTCATGTTTTTTGTAACAAGCTGTGGCTGACATGGAATCACTGCTAAATTAGATAAACTCACACAAACGTTTGAGCGCTTCCTGTTTCTATGATTCACCGCTCTTAATCTATTACCTATCAACACAGATATCGGCAAAGCTATAGGCAGGCAGGGCCCCGACATGTCCTGGAAAGAGTTGAGAGTGCCATACGCCCTTGAGCCTGGACCCATCAAGTACATTTACTCAAGTACTATTTGTCATGCTTCACTCAAGTATTTCAATTATTGTATGCCACTTTGTAACTCTACTCTAAAATGGTTTACTGCATGTATTAAACCCTCACAGGTGCTAGATGCTTTTTACCTTTAAAAACACATGATTTTTTATATATCATGAAGCCCTGTACTACGCTTATTTCGAAGCAATTACAACACAAACATTTATTTTATAATGTAGTACTTTCAAAGGGGTGATTGTGTATACTGAGTAGTTTTACTTTTGAAACTTCGAGTACATTTCTACTTTGACTTAAGTAAAGGATCTGAGTACTTGTCATCTGAGTGTATCTGCCGCATGTTGTCAGAGGCTCTGTGCGCAGTTTAGTGCTGGAGACCAGCTTCATTCATTAGGCTGAGGACTATTTCCTATAACCTTTTTGTAATGAAATCTGCACTAATCAATATGTATCCGTCCATACAACCTCTTAACCTGTTAAGCCCCGAGCCTGTTTTTCAGGTCTCATGCTCGAAAATGACATTCCCAGAACAAATGACCATATCTTCCCTTCTAAAAGGGTTACATTAATAATCTTTTTTCTCAAAGCAAGGTTACATCTGTGAGTTGGATGTAGAAGTGTCAGAATCAATATAGATGTTTTTATTTTAAAGTAAATTCAGATTGAACATAGTAAAAAAATAAAAATTATTGTGTCCGTCCAAAAAAAAAAAAAATTACTTATAGTGAAAACCACCCTTGAATGATGGGATGATAGACTAAAAACTTTAGGAATCCAAACTACTACATATAAGTCCCTGTTTCAAGATTGATGCTAAACAAGTGAAATTTGACCTTTTTAGAGAGATTTAGCAAAAATAAAACCACTTCTGGACTCATTTGGGTGGATTTTCCATATCTCTGGCCCCCCTTGCTCGATTTTGCTGATTGACATCTCTTTCTAACTGTCAGAGCCAATGGAATCGAGGGGAACTCCCACATACTGTGTGTGTGTGTGTGTGTGTGTGTGTGTGTGTGTGTGTGTGTGTGTGTGTGTGTGTGTGTGTGTGTGTGTGTGTGTGTGTGTGTGTGTGTGTGTGTGTGTGTGTGTGTGTGTGTGTGTGTGTGTGTGTGTGTGTGACGCATAACAAAACCGGAAGCTGCGATAACTCCTACCATTAGCAGCTAACTTTTACTCTGCGATTTTTACATAAAAATGGAATTATTGATTATAAATATTTTTTTCAAATCCACAGAAACATTATCAACCTATGGATTAACCGATTCAGCCGCGTTTTTTCTCGTTTTAATGCCATTGAACAAGTCTTTTGATCAGATTGACAGCTACGGTGAGACGATCTCCCGTAA